CAGCGGCCCAGGCGGCCGCGGCCCAGGCGGCGCAGGCCGAGGCGGCCGAGTCATGGTACCTGGCGCTTCTGGGCTTCGCCGAGCACTTCCGTACGTCCAGCCCGCCCAAGATCCGTCTATGTGTGCACTGCCTGCAGGCTGTGTTCCCCTTCAAGCCGCCGCAGCGCATCGAGGCCCGCACGCACCTGCAACTCGGCTCCGTGCTCTATCACCACACGAAGAACAGCGAGCAGGCGCGCAGCCACCTGGAGAAAGCGGTGAGCGCGGGCCGGACCGCGAGGGAGGAGCGCGGGCTCCTTGCGGGGCTTGAGCTGACGAGCCGCGACCACGGCGGGTGAGGNGGGTGAGGGCCACCCGGGCCGCTCCTCTGGGAGCTGGGGTGCGACTTCCGCATAAGCTGCAGGACCCCGACGCAGCCAGCTTCTCGGGGAACCCGAGGGCCTCGCCCCGTACGTTATTTAACGTCTCTGGTGACAGGCAGAGTTGAGGGCTCCGCTCTTCTGAGGAGCAAAAGGGTCCCCAAATTTTTCGGGTTTTCAGGAGTAGACTACATGTTGGCGCCTATTGAGACGTCCCCAGATTGCCAGTGGACCCTGCAGCTTCCAGCTTCTTAGGGCTCAGCCCCGGAAGCATCAGCCTGAACGTTCCCTTCTGAAGTGACTCAGGATAGTGGGGCCGAGGTGACAGTCCAGGCATCCCTTGGGAATCTGAAGTTCGGTCTCTCGGAAAACATTATATCCCTGGACCTGGACGTCTAATAAGTGTCTGGAGGGTATTATGCCCCCACCAGTGATACGGGGAATCATCGGTGGGAGGCAGAGGCCCAGAGCCTAGAATTAGTCATTTTAAGTCCTATAAGGAAGTGGAACAGTGTGGGTGTGTAAGGCGGGAAGGGGTCTGGATTCCAGGACCAGATAGTTGCTTAGTGGTGGGGATTGGGGGAAGGGGATCTCCCAGCCCTTCTTTTCTCTGTATTTACCTGGTAACTTCTCTTCCTCCCACCATCCACTAGTCCATCCCCTTCAAAGGGCAGGCCTCATACCCACCCCGCCCCCCATATTTTGTTGTTGTTAATCCTTGCCTGAGGATTTTTTTTCCCATTGATTTTTAGAGAGTGAAAGGGAGGGAAGAAGGGAGGGGGAGAGAGAAGCATGGATGCGATGCACTCGACCGGAATCGAACGGAGCCCCTTCCGTGAGCGGGCCGGCGCTCTAACCACTGAGCACACCAGCCAAGGCTATACCCCCCCATCTTGACTTGTGAGAGATCTTGGTGCTTCAGAGAATCTGGCTGTGGAGTTTTTCTTCTCACAGCAATACTGAACTGTCAGAGCGTGCCTTCATATGCCGTTTAGTCTTTTATTGAGATTAAAGAAGAGACTTCGTGCATAGAATCAACTTAGATTTTTTAAAGGTATTGATCTGAGGTAAATCAACCCACCTGTGGCTAGTAACAAGTTGCCTTTGGGAGGATACCAGATCTTTGTTATATACTGTAAAGAGTTGGAAGGGGGCCCTGGCAGGTGTGGCTCAGTTAGTTGAGCATCACCCCATGCACCAAAAGGTGGCTGGTTCAATTCCCAGTCAGGGCACATGCCCAGGTTGAGGGTTTGATCCCCAGTAGGGGGCAAGCAGGAGGCAGCCGATCGATGCTTCTCTCTCCCCCCCTTCCTCTCTCTCTAAAATTAATAAAAACATGGAAGAAAATAAGAGTTGGAAGGGGACTTTAGTCCTTGTTTGATCAACCTTGTTTCACGAGTGAGGTGGTAAGGGCCCAGAGAGGTAAAGTAATTTGTTCAAATCCACACACAGCAAGTTATTAACAAAATTGGGTTCAAACCTAGGCTCAAGATCACCAGGTTCCATGCCAAGACAATAAGTGTTATTGTGTTTGTGAAGTTCTATTATTTCAGTCATTTATCACTTACTTGTTCAGCTCACACCAGGTGCCAATCCCTCTTCTGGGTGCTAGGGATCAGCCATAATTAAAACAGTCCCTGCCCACATAAGCTTATGTTTTAGTGAGGGAGACAAATAATGAATGTGTAGTAAGAGGTTAGGCAGTGATAGAAGAACTATGAAAAATACGGAGTTGGCAAGGAGCTTTTTTTGGCAGATGTAGCAAGGGAGTCTCTATTTGATAAAGCCTTAAATGGGGTGGAGGAAATAAGCCTGGAGAACTGCTTAGGGTACCAGGTGATTCCCAAGGAGTGCCTGAGCTGTCTGTGGTTGGTGACTAGTTTGTGTCAGGGTCTTTCTTGGGCGGTGATGAGGCTGAGATCAAATGAAGCACCAGGTTCTTTGGGTACAGGGTGGCTGAAGGCTGTGACTCCTAGGGCCTGGGCCCAGTGCCTTCAGTGGATGCCCCTGTTCTGAAGTTCTCCCTTCTCTTGATAAAAAGCAAATCCTGCCATCTCCCTTCCCTGGTCTAGGAAGCCATTTTTCTAGCAGTGGTTCATAGACACTGTATGTTGTTGCATTTTGGTCATTCAGAGCTGTTGAGGGGAAAGAGCCATGCCTCAGATTGCTTCCTTGTAGCCACTTGATTTGGGGGCCCATAATTTTAAACTCTTATCCTTTTTTTAATTGATTTGAGAGAGAGAGAGAGAGAGAGAGAGAAAGATCAATGTGTTGTTCCACTTATTTATGCATTCATTGGTTGATTCTTGTATGTGCCTTGACTCTTATATGTGCCCTGACTGGGGATCGAACCTGCAACCTTGACGTTATTGGGATGACGCTCTAACCAACTGAGCTACCCTGCCAGGGCTAAACCCTTATCCTTGTGAAGTGGCCTCCCTCGATTTTACAGAACCCTGAATCTTGTGGGGTCTTCCCCAGAGCCGCAAGTTCCCCTCCATAGCTCACACTGACATTCCCCAAATCCCTTTCTGTCAGTTGCATCCTCAGCTGGGAATTTGTTCAGATTTCAGTTAAAGTGCAGTTCTCCATGCTGTTTTTCTTCTGAAACTGTGATCTCTTTTAGTGTCGCATGCTTTCTTTAATCCTTATTCTTTACCAACTGTGCATTTTTCCCAAGTCAGGCTGCTATCAACTTTTACTCTTCCCTTTCCCAGACTAACTTGATAAAGAATCATAATATGTTTGTTTGTTTGTTTATAGCTTTTATTTATTGATTTTTAGAGAGCGAGAGGAAGGAAGAGAGAGCAGCATTGATTTGTTCCACTTATTTTCATGTTTTTATTGGTTGATTCTTGTATCCACAACCTTGGTGTATTGCAGTGACACTCTAACCAACTGACCTACCCAGCCAGACCCAATATGTTCTCCTTTTAGAAGTGGTTTGTTAGTTTCTAGCCCTGAAGAGCAAATGGTCAAAAAGATTCCAATTTCTTTTCAGGGAGTCAACCCAGAATAACAAAAAAAAAATTTTTTAAGGTAAATGACAAGCATTTTGTTACAATTTTGTCCTTTATTATTTCCCTTGCTATTCTTTCCTAATCTAATTCCTCTAATTTATAAGTTCTATAGGTAAAACTTTTAATTGGCCTCTAAACTTAGTACTACACTCAGCTTCCCTGTTATTTACATCATCTTTTGCTTTCTCTCTCAGAGACCCTAACTTCCTTGGTAATCACATTTTTAAAATATAAGGTTAGATTATTTATTCTTCTATCTGCTTAATGTCAATTTCTAACTGCTTCCTTAACTACGTTTGTAAGCTTTATAAAAGGAATATATAATATACTTATCCACCTGCTTCATTAATTCTACCAACTTCGAAAAATCGTCTATTAAGTATTCATGTTGAATGCATGGAAGGTGTTTCTCCCTTTCCTCAGAGGCTTTATTGAGGTTGAAGCCATTGGTCTCAATGGTACCTGCCTCTGCAGACTCTCGGAGCCTCTGCTGGCTACCTCATTTGCTAGGTCTGCTCAGCAGATCCTGTAGCTATTACAGTGTATGACAGGACCCTTTACCTCAGAACCTTCCTTCTTTGACTGTGGTTTTGGCAGCAATGTGGATGTGTTGTCAGAATTCTTGGCTGCTCTGAGATTCCTTCAGTAAATAGTTCATGACTATAAAGGATGCCCCTTTACTCAGAAATCTCTCTCTTTTTGTTAAAAATAGTTTGTTGAGCCCAGTCGTCATGGCTCAGTGGTTGAGCATCGACCTAGGATCCAGGAGATCGGAGTTTGATTCCTGGTCAGGGCACATGCCTGGGTTGTGGGTTAGATCCCCAGTAAGGGTGTGTAGGAGACAGCCGATCAATGACTCTGTCATCATCGATGTTTCTCTCTCTCTCTCTCCGTCTCCCTTTCTCTCTCTGAAATAAAGACTTTTTTTTTTTAATTGTTTTGTTGATTTTTAGAGGAAGAGAGAAAGAGAGGTAGAAACATCAACTTGAGAGCACAACATCAATCGGCCGCCTCCTGCAGGCCCCCACCAGGGACCAAGCCCAAAACCCAGGCATGTGCCCTTGACCAAGAATCAGACCAGCAACCTCCTGGTAGAAGGGACATCACCCACCCAACTGAGCCACACAGTCTAGGGCAGAAATCTCTTGGCTAGAGAATTTGCAAGGCTGTTTCTACAATTTCTGTCAGATTGTGTTCTTTTACATTCCATTTTCACCTTATTATCTTTCCTCTTGTTACACATCTATTCCTGTGTGAATTTTCAGTCTTCCTTATTTTCACACTAGCAGACAATTCCATTTCAGCAATTTGCACATTCCTCCTTAACTTTCTTACTTTTTCTGACATTTCACTTTATCCCTTCACCTGGAAAGTACATCATCATCTTAGACTTTCCTGATTTAAGAGCCACAGAGAAATAAATGCTCCTCCTCTGAAATAATTGTTTGTTACTTGCTGTAATCCAGACAGTCATTCTGTGTACAGTGGTCTCTCTGACTTCAGTATCCATGTCAAGGCTGTGTTTACTTTCTCTCTGCTTTTGAAACAGAACTGGTTTTTAGTGGTGGTTTTGCTCATATGACTTAGACAGCAGCTTCAAACTCTGCTGTCCAAACACTTGTTAAGTCTGCTTTTACAGGTTTAGCCTGACAGTCTCTGGTTTACCTTCCCAGCAAGTAATTAAATGCTTCCCTTTCTCTTTTTAAGGCCTGAAAGGGCTCGGTGGTAAGCCTTTCATCATCAGGCTCAGCTAGAGCAGATCTGTCATCCTTCAGGATCATGAGTGTGTCCTGCTAAGTTTCATGCCCCATTGACCTGGAGCAGAAACCTTGTGCAGAAGCTGTATTTACCAAGCCTAGTGTTAAGCCCTTTTCGTGAAAGAGTTATCTGTTTTCATTTTCTTCACTCTTAGTCTCTCAGTCTCCTGTGAATTCAAGATTTGAAATCTGTTTAGGAACCGTCACTTCACAGTTCCACTAACTTGACCCTTGACTTCCTCCCAACCCCCGAGTCTTCTGGTTCCTGCCTGGGAATTACCATAGTATTGTTGGTGCCTTCTACATGCCAAACCATGCATTCATGCTTCTTTGGACACTCTTATTGGATCCTCAGCAAACCTACAAAGTGGAGACCACTTCTGACTTGCTGCTGACAGGAGAATGCTCATAAACATAGTCACACAGCAGAAAGAGGCACCGCTGGCTCCTGAGTGCTGTGTTTCCATCCCAAAAGAGTTGCAGTTAATAACTATTTCTACACATTTTGGTTATTTAAAAGCTGATCTTTAAAAAAAAAAAAGTTACCTTGATTTCGAGGTAAAAAGAAGCCTTGAAATGCTGTAGGCCCTGGATTGAATCCTCCAAGGACAAGAAATGTGCTGATCTGAGCCCTTCCACTTCTCAGGATGCATGCTGGCCCTGCGGTGACCCTTGCTTTCCTTGAGAACCCCAAGGTGACCCCAAGGACTTCTGGTAGGGTTGTTCACATCCTGCCCTATGCCTACAGGCCTCCCCACAGCTCAGGGTCTCTCACGTTGGCTGCTTTCCCATCACAGGGAAGGAAACATAAAACCTATTTTTTTAACGGTACAAAATAAAACATCCAGATGAGGGTACTTTGGGTAAGGCAACCTTGGTATATTATTTATGAGATGCATATATTTCTGATGTCTGTATATTTATGATTTGTGATTTTAGGTTGCAAGTGTTAAAAAGAAATGAAAGGGAAATCATTTGATTGGTGTCTGGCAGCGAATCTGAGGAAATGACTGGCTTGCCATGACACTGAGCCAGTTCTTTAGCTTCTAGCTTTGGAACTGGGTCATCATGGGGTGTAGCTCAAGGTGTCACTGATGCTAATACCTGGACATAAAGCAGTGATGTTTGAAGGAAGCTGTCTGATACTATTTAGGAGTTAGGCCTTTGTGTTTGAAAGTCATAAGCCTCAGTTCTGTGGCCATTTGCTCATAAGGACACTCTCATTTCCTGGTGATGTTAGATGAAATCATTCATGTGACAAATATTTCCAAGGCACCTCCTGTGTGTTGGCCTGTTGCAGGAACTGGGGACACAACACTATGAGGAGGCACATCATAAGGCTTTATCTAACCTCCCCCATTTGTGTGTGTTTAAAGTGGAGGCCATAGCACATGCATGAGAGAATGGAAGCAGGTTGTAGCCCTAAGAACAGATGCTAAGGGCGACTAGGATCCAGCTCCTCCATGTAGGTCCACACCTTTAATTCCGTCCTCTTGTGTATGTACACGTTCTCTTTATCCACTCTGTACTCTTGCTAGAGGGCTCCCCTTCAGCACAGAGGCCTTGCCTGAGGTAGGTCTTGCACATGGAGATTGAGTTGCGGGACCACAGAATCTCAGGGTTGGACCAGATCTCAGCATGTCCCTAATCAAGCTCTTCAGTCACACAGTCTCCTACACAGCATCCATTCCTCCTCCCAGTTGGTGGCCTACAGGAGCTTCTGTTGCTGGACTGCCCTTCCCCGTGGGGAGGAGTGGCTTCTGTAGAAAGCAAGCCCCGACTTCTGTGTTTACCACCTTTGTGCCACTTGTGGCTGGGGCTGGGCCCATTCCCACTGTTTCTGTATACAGACTCCAGCTGACGAACCTTACCTCTGGGGCTGCAATCCTGACAGCAGGCACTGGCCCTGCCTTCTGGGGACCCTGAGCCCTTGCTTACCCTGCTGCAGTAGGGTGTTGGGAAGGGATACTTGGGCTGGCTGCAGAGTGCCTTTTGCTTCAGCTCTGCAAGCACACGTGTGTACATGTATGCGCTTGTATGTGTACACCTGCACATGTGCTTGTGTGCATGTGCATGAAAGAGTCTGGAGCCCAGTGGCACTGAGTGCTCTCTCTGTTCCTCTCCCAGAGCTCCCCCTCCTGGCCCACCTGTGTCTTTCAGTCAGCTGTCTGGGATGCAGTTCCAGGTCTTTCTCAGCCTCTTTTGTGACTTCCTCCTCCATCACTCACTCTTGCCCTAAAGGCATCTCCAACCCCAAGGCTGTCCCCCAGGTTTCACTAGCCCCTCCCTTTGCTCATGTTCCCAGCCAGCAAGCCCCTTGGGCCTTTAGTCTCTGGCTCCTCTTCCTCTTCCCTCTGCATTCTCTTTGCTGCATCTAGGATACTCTTAAAACTCAGATCTCATTGGGTGCTTTTTTTTATGCCTCTGATTGGGTCAGGTTCCATGGGTGACGTCAGGGCATTCGGACCCACAGTCACTGCTGAGTGGCACACCTTCCAGCCTTATCTTCCTGACCTTCTGCCTTTTTACAGGCTCTTCTCTCCCAAGAGCACCTCCTACTCCCCCTTTGCCTGGGAACACACATACACACACCCCAGCCCCAGATGTGCCCCTCCCCACTCCCACCCCATGGTGTTCTCCCATAGAGAATGGCAAGTCAGGGTCTTCTGTTCAGCCCTAGATCTGCCTTCTAGAACCCACCACTACTCTGAGAACATTTATGGGACAAGTGTCAGGTGAATGCTTGAGTATTGGATGGTCTGACAGACTGTGGTCAGTGTGGTGGACTGTCCTGGCACCTTACTGCCTCCTGTAGGAATGTGGAACTCCAGGGCACAGCAATCTCCAAGTGGGAATGTGTCATTGGCTGAACCATGTCCTGCATGTGTGCCAGCAAAGGGACTGCAAGCTCAGGTCTCAGAATCATCTCTTCTGCCCCTTGCCAGGCACTGCCCACACAAGTCCTTCCTGGACCTCTTCTCCCTCCCCTCTGAGTCTGTCTGCTCATTTCCAAGAATCTTTTAAATGCCGCTTCTCCAGGAAGGACTGACACCCCCGGGACCCACTCTCCAGTTGTAATTGATTCCTCATGTTATGATTTGCTATGGGAATACTGCAATGAATGGCACATGGGAACCCCTCTGCACTCCTTCCCCTTCTGAAGCATTGTTGCCCTAGTGGGAGGGGCTCTGAGTTAGAGTCAGGTGCCTGTGCATGGTGTGACAGGAAGCACCCTGTCAGTAAGGGAGCAAATGCTTGTTCCCTCTCCCCCAGGCACACTCTGGTTGCTGGATTAGAGGGAAAATGAGCCCATAAGCTACCTTCCCACTTATCTGAACACCTGCAGTCTTTGTGACAGGACAACCTGTGTAAACCCCAAAGCAGAGCTAGTGAGCAATGTGCCATGCATTTGGCTGAGAATTAATACTTTTTTATTTCTCTTTCAGTGGTTGATATCACAGCAAGTATCCTTTTCTTGGTATTGTTTCCTTTAAGAAATGTGTTATAAACTTAAATAAAAAGAATGTGTTATAAACTTAAATCCCCGATATCCTGCACCCCATGGGTTTAGGACTTGCCTCACAGACCACTTGGAGAATCCCTGCTCAACTGTAGCTGTCCCTTTAGACCAGTGGCCTCACCATGGGTGCCATGTTTAAGCCTCGGCATTCAGTTCCACACCTGGCCAGCAGCAAGCTCAGGGATCACTGGGGGAATACGTGAACTTGTGGCTTCAGAGCAGGTGGGTACACACCTGACTGGTGAACCTCTACAGTATAAGAACCCCACACATTATTTCTTTTAAACTGACCTTTTTGCAGCATCTGTACTTCCTTAACCAGGTGTCACTAGATCCCACAGTTTGAAGATGTTAAATTTGAAGCAGCAAGTCTTTTGTCTGAACTATACTGTCAAGAGGTAAGAGCCTATGAAGGTTTCTGAAAGCAGTACCTCTCTCTGTAGTGAAAGTGCAGTGGCAAATTGGTACTCTCAGGAGTAGACTGACTTCCTCTTGGCTGTCCTATTTTTTATTTATTTTAATCCTCACCTGAAGATATATTCTTACTGATTTGAGAGAGAGAGAAACATCAATCGGTTGCCTCCTGTATGTGCCTCGACTGGGGATCGAACCTGCAACCTGGGTACGTGCCCTGGCTGGGAATCAAACCCGCAACCTTTTGATATATGGACGATACTCCAGCCAACTGAGCCACCTGGCCAGAGCTTTTTGGGGTTTTTTTCTTCTGACTTCCTCCTGGATTTTAATGCTTCCTGTTACTTTGCTACCACCCGCACCCTGGCATGAGGTGGCTGTGGGTGATCACTTGCTCCAAGGACCAACAGAGTATTTTTCTAAGACTTTCCAGAGACTTGGAAAACAGCCTTGTTCCTACACTAAAGATGATTAGTTCTTGTACAAGTGCATACAGTTTATCATCTTAATCTGGTTCCTAATCTCAGGTGTAGCTGAAAATTGCCTTCCCCCCAACACCTTTGAGCAATTGCCTTTGAGGCTCCCTGGGCAACAGGGAGTGAGGGAGTGTGTGCTTCACACCCCTGGCTCATCTCTCTTATAGTACAAGAAAGATGGCAGTTGTCATCCAATTTGTTCAGGAGTTTGAACTAAAGCTCCTTTCAATTTAGTTGATTTTAAGAGCAATGCAAAAAAAAACGTCTTGGCCAGTAAAAAATAAAAAATATTTTTTCTTCTACTTTTTTATTGATTTCAGTGAGAGGAAGGAAGAGGAAGAGAGAGAGAGAAACATTGGTCGGCTGCCTCCACCACCCCCCCGTAGATTGAGCTGGCAACTTGGACATGTACCATGACCAGGAATCCAACCAGCAACCTCCTGGTGCATGGGACAATGCTCAACAAACTGAGCCACAGGGGCTGGACCTTTTTTTTTTTTTAATTGATTTTTTTAGAGAGAGGAAAGGAGAGGGAGAGAGAGAGAGAAACATGCATGTGAGAGCACAACATCGATTCGCTGCCTCCTGCGTACCCCCTTCCGGGAATTGAGCCCACAACCCAGGCATGTGCCCTGGAGTGGGAATCCTGCAACCTCCTGGTGCATGGAACAATTCTCAACCAGCCAACTGAGCCACACCAGCCAGGGCTGTTTTCTTCCTTTTTTTTTTTTAAATATACCTTTATTGATTTCAGAGAGGAAGGGAGAGGGAG